CGGGCCCAGCCGCTCCGCGGCACGTGGGATCTTCCCGGACCGGGGCACGAACCCGCGTCCCCTGCATCGGCAGGCGGCCTCTCAACCACTGCGCCGCCAGGGAAGCCCTGGTTAATGTTTTTGAGAGCAGGAGCCAGCTCTTTTTTGCTTGTGTTCTTGGCTGCCTCTTACAAGGGATTCTCAGTTAGGACTGCCCGTTTGTGTCCCTTGAGGAGCTTTGAAAAGAAAAGCGTCAGAATTGGTCACGGTTGGGCCCAGGAACGAGTAAATTTTGAGTGCTTTCTCGGTGATGATGCGCAGAGTTGAGAGCCACCGAACAAAGACCACCTGGCAGTGAACCGTTTTGTCCACAGTAGGGTCACGGGTCTGAGCCCTCGGTGCAGGTCACTGCATCCCTGCCTGGAGGATTCAAATCGACCTTTTATTAGACTGAAGTAAAAGGGACTTATTCAGCCAGCGAATATGAGTGCCCGCTGTGTGCCAGGCACTGTTCTGGGCGCTGAGGTCACTGCATTGAACAGAACATGTCTCTGCTGCCCTGGAGCTTTTGCTCTTGGATTTTGGAAGACAGACCATAAATAGTGTCAGGTAATGATGATAAAGCTGTGGAGGAGAGCAAAGTGGGATGAGTGAGCAGAGCGGAAAGCAGCACTTTGATTCAGGCTGGCTTAAGAACTATCCCCTGTCGGCATTAAATCAGCAAATGCTTTAAAACCAGCCTACTCCGGCGGCTCCCAGGCCAGCCAGTCTCCAAGGACCTGCTGCCCTCTGCTGACCCTGTGGATAAGCAGAGGCGGAGCAGAGGGACCCCGGAGAGCGGAGGCTGGAGGACAGGGTCTGAGGCTGGGGTCGTGTACTGAGACTTGTGCCTGGTTTGTGACCAGGGGCCCGGCTGTGAGCACATCTCACGACAGCACAGCAGCTCTCAACGCCCAGTTTGATATTTGGGTGTCCTTTTCTTAGGATGGGGATTATAACAGGATTCTAACCACTTTAAAAAAGATGACATACTTCCATAGCCAAAGCTGTCTCTTTCAAAATGTTTCTGAACGTGCTTTGTAGCTATGAAGTGGCTGTTTACTGAAGTGAGATGCCCGTTTCCTAAGTTATAGGCAACACCTGTTTCTTTCATAGGTGGAAAGTGCGGCAGGTATTAGGGCAGATGCAATTTAAGGAAAAGCAGAGAAGACTGTCATCTGTATGGCACTTATTTTTCTGTGGGCCTTGACGTCAGGGCCCCGCCCCACCCCAAGGTCAAATCGCGAGGTGGGTGGCCCCGTGCAGTGAGGGACCCTGTCTTGTATTTGGAGGGGTGTGTGTGTGGAGGGGTGTGCACCTGGGCAGACATATTGGGTGTGTCATCGTTGTCCCTGCCGACCGCTCCTCAAGTGAAGGTTACGGGGAGCTTTAGCCCAAGAGAGGCTCGGCGCTCTAGGACTGAAATCGCATCTTAAGGAGATAGACTGGCTTGGGTCTTAACAACAGAAGCCCTGGATGAAGGCTCACGTCGCGCCCGCGAGCGGGGATGGGCGGGATTCTGCTCTCAGGTCGCCAGGCGCGTCGGGGGAGAAAAGCTGCTGGTTCGTTCCAGAAACCAGGGGACCAGCCCTCTGCACTGAGGGTCTGGAATTTCATTCTGGAGCACAGAGGTGTCTTCCACCGTCCTCTCTGGCGGCCGAATGCAGGGCACACCCCCTTGCTGTGTCTCTCCGTTCCCCAGCGCAAAGAAGCCGGGAAAGCCTAGCTCGGGAATTCAGTCCCTGGGCCTGGAGGGGGAGCTCGCCCCGGGGAGGGGAGGCTCTGGCCTCTGCTCCCCGCATCCGCTCGGCCCACGTGGCCCTACCTGCAGGGGTGCGCCCCTCGCCACCCCCGCGGGGACTGCGCTCCCCGCGCCCAGGCCCGGCTGGCCGGGGAGGGGGGAGGGGCGGGAGGGGGCGGGGCGAGGGGCGGGAGGGCCGAGGTTTCCACCCCCGGGAGGGGCTCCTCAGCGCTGGGGACCGGCGCGGGCGGGGCGGGGCGGGGCCGACAAGCTGCGCGCGTCTCCAGGGGCCGCCGAGGTACAGCTGCGGCGCGTCCCCCGGAGCATCCTTTCTAGCTGGTCCCCGCCCGCCCGCCCGTGCTGCTGCCTGTGCCGGGCGTGACTTCTTTGTGTTCTGCTTTCTGACCGCGCCTCTTCTCCGCAGGACCTGTTCGTTCTTCTTCGGGCTACAAGAAGGCAGATGACGAGATGTCCCGGGCCACGTCTGTTGGGGACCAGCTGGACGCACCAGCCCGCACCATTTACCTCAACCAACCGCATCTCAACAGATTCCGTGACAACCGGATCAGGTAGGAGGCGGCAGCCAGCCGAGAGTCGCAGGAAGCGGTTAATTCACAGCTGGGATGTGGCTCGGCTTCCTCTCCTGGGCTTTTCCACGCACCTGGCCAGCCCCCCGCCCCTCTCTGCTGTCGCCAGCCCCCTCCACTCCCCTCCCCCTCAAGCCTGGCAGTCTACACCCGCGTTTCCAATCGGGTCATGGGAATATAGCTCGTACCTTTCTCTCCTTTGCGTTGGTTCTGTGCTCAGGCTGGCTGTGAGCCCGGAGGACGTTTTTAGGCTTCCGTCCCTGGCAAAAATGAGGTTTCTCGTCTCTTCATCCCTGAGTGCCCTTCCAAGAATTCCCCACTCCTGTTTTAAGCCAACTGATAGCTCTCCTTAACAAGTTACCGACTGTAATGTGGAGAAGCGCTTTATACTGGAATCCCTCAGGTCACAAGAACTCGCATTCAGCTCTCAATGCCCAGGACATTTGTTAAGAGGGCTTTATTTGCTGGGAAACTTTGCCCAGAGTTAGCGGGAAGACGGATGGACGCTAACATGTAAACGTCTGCTTTTTGCCGGCCACTCTCTTGGATGCTTTAGCTACACTGGCTTTATAAAATCTCAGAACCCCTTGAAGAAGGCAGTCTTACCTTCAGATGTGGAGACTGACGGAGAAGGATGTTAAATATGGCCATTTAGCTACTAAATGGCATAGCTGGAAATAGAACCTAGCCTGCCTTACTACTAAACCCAAAGTCTTTCTGCTGTGCAAAGCTAGATCTTTTAGGCATGTGAGTTAGCGTGTTTGCAAATTTCATTAAACTTTCAGGCTTAGACAACTTTATCTCTGGGATTGACTTCAGAGGTTGTAGTTCTGTGAGTGGCTCAGAACACCATGCTCAGGTGTAGAGAAGGTAAGTGATTGGTCGGGTTACATACGGATTATTGACAAACCAGGCCAGGGCTCCTTTGTGAAAGCGCCAGCTAAAGCTTTGTTATGTGTTAAGTGTTCCTCTGCAGCCGTAGCACTTGAGCTTAGCCTGACATCTTTCTTCAGAAAGGCCTGGCTGTTGGACATTATTGTAGCTTGATAGGATTGGGGATAAAATAATGGTGCATATACTATGCAGAAGTGACGCTTTCATTTATTAAAAGAGTGTTAGATTATCCTGGATGGCTCTATTTTGGGTTTTAAGAATGACCGTTGGGGCCTATTTAATACTTAAGCGTGTAGCTTGGAAGAATAGCTGAGACCGAATTCAAGGCTGAGTGGGCTTGGTTTAAGATACAGAGCCTCAAGCACGAGTTCCCGCTTCACTCACTAGGATAGCTCTAATCAGAAAGACAGTAGCAGGTGTTGGCGAGGATGTGCAGAAATGGGAACCGTCCTACATTGCTGATGGGAATGAAAAATGGTGCAGCTGCTTTGCAAGACAGTTTGTTTCTTAAAAGGTTAAATGTAAAGTTACATATGATCCAGAAATTCGAGGTGTATATACCCAAGAGAAATGAAGACGTATGTCCACACAGAAACTGGTATAGAAGTCCCTAGCAGCATTATGATAGTAGGTAAAAGTGGAAACCGTCCAAATGTCTGTCGACTGACAAGTGAGTAAATAAACCGTGGTACATCCATACAGTGGAATATCATTTGGCCACAAAAAAGAATGCACTTCTACAACATGAATTAACTTTGAACACATTATGCTAGGAGAAGCCAGTAATAGGCCTCCTGTATGATTGTATTTATATGAAATACCCAGAGGAGGCAAATCTACGGAGACATAAGATTAGTGGCTTCTAGGGCTGAGGAGTAGGTTGGGAAAAGAGGAATGACTGTAAGGTACACGGGGTTTCATTGGGGTGATGGCTACACAACTCTGTGAGATATACTTAAACCATCTGCAACGCGGCACTGACATTATAGTTCCATTTCCTTAGACTTTCTCATGTGTGACCTTAAGATATTTTCAATAGTATTTTTGCTTAGTTCCTATTAATTTCGGCATCCATTTGTGCATGCTTAAAGCTGGGAGAATGAAATAGGGGTCTTTGTTTTTTGTCTGAATTCTCTAGTTCCCATGGAAGGTGAAGATTTTTAAAAGCCTTGGTAGCGAGGCCTCACAACCTGTTCTGTCATTAAGACTCACATTGGCTTTAAAAATTTTTTAATTTATTTTTTATTGGAGTGTAGTTTATGTACAATGTTGTGTTAGTTTCCGGTGTACAGCAAAGTGATTCAGTTATACACCCATATATATATATAAATCCTTTTTCAGACTCTTTTCCATTATAGGTTATTACAAGATATTGAATATTGTTCCCTGTGCTGTACAGTAGGTCCTTGTTGGATCTGTTTTATATATAGTAGTGTATAAAACACTGCTAATTTATCCCTCCCCTCACCCCTCCCTTTTGGTAACCATAAGTTTGTTCTCTATATCTGAAGACTCACAGTGACTTTTGAAACTGATTTTTATTATTAATCAAAGAGACTTCCAGCGGCTGCCTGTTATACAGTTTCATTTGTACTCTTGGGGGTGGGGGAGGGCTAAGTGGGAGTATACCGTGGGTTGGCTAGGAAGAAAGTAGGTAGACACAAACCATTCCATTTAAAGCCTTGTATGTGAGTGTATAATTGAATTAGTTAAATATGTTAAATCTTACAATTCATACAGTTTGAGTTCATGGCTTATACTGTGAGCATAGGTTTCAGAGTATACTGAATAGGCTCTAAGAAATTAAAGTATGGTGCCGGCTGTTCTAGAAAATGGTCTTCCAGTACTCACTTTACCTCCACTGTATATTTAATTAGGAACTACTAATGGTAATGTGACTCATAGTTCATTAAAGAATCGATTTTAAAGCTTCTTGGCATAAGTTTAAGGATTTTACAAAATGTTGAACAATATTGTTTCAGCACTTGAATATCGCTGAAATCGTTTTATAAAATACTGATTTTTTTAAAAAATAAGGCTTTTTGTCTTTGTCATGACTGTTTGTTGAAAGTTGTTAAAGCTACTCAAAGGGGTATTTTCATTAAAGGGAGTTGATAAAGGAGTTATTTTTCTTAATATAGTTTTTCTTGGGAAAACATTAATGGTTTTTCCCGGAAGCTGGGGCATATGGAGTGTTGATCCCAGATAGCTTGCATCTAAACTGAGGCTTTTGAAAAGAAGGGACCACGTGGGACAGATGGGGCTCACGCTGGTCCATGGAGTGGGGGTGTCTGGTGTATCTGATGCCCCGCACCTCTGTAGGCTGGCCCTCCCTGGAACCGAGCTCTCGCACTTACCCTCCCCACCCGAGGCCATCTCTGGCTTGGAACCTCATGATGGTGGCAGTTGCTATGTGACTGCCTTCATGGGCAACTGGTGTTTTGACTTCACGGAAGGGGTTGGAGTTTGCCAAGGCGGGATGTGGTGGTTGTGTGTTCGGGGAGGTTGGTGAGGGGCAGCATGGTACAATTCAGGGCAGCGATGGATGGTCCGGGGTTAACGTCTGGACTGGTGTGTCCATCCAAGAAGGAGGCTCCACCAGGCGAGTGGGAGTGAGAAGGTCACTGCCGGGGTTAACTGGCTTTGGCAGCCCCAGGGGAATGCCAGACATGGTGACTCAAATTCCAAGCAATTCCTTGAAATTCTGGAAGGGTTTGTGCCATGTCAATGGATGTCTCTCTAAACCTTGTTCTTGACACTGCAGGTAACACCAGCGTTTGATCTGAAGCTGTGGTAGGTTGAAGTTTTCCATTATTGAAGCCAATGAATTTGGATTATCAAAATCATAGAGAAATAGAACATGGTCTTTTTCTCCTAGGCATTGATCTTCTAGGACCTTAACTGTGAAGACAGTAACTGTCTTCAATCATCCAGCAATGACTAGATTTTACAGTGTAATTATTACATCTACACATGAAAGATTGTATATATGTCTACTTGACAAGATTCCTTTTTTCTCAAGTGTACAATCACATCTTTAAAATGTAACAGCTTTATTGAGAAATAATTCACATACCATATAATTCACCCATCTAGAGGATGCAGTTCAGCGGCTTTTACTATATTTAAGGTTGTTCTAAAGTTGTGGTGATGGTTGTACATTTTATCGCTTCCAGAGGAAACTCTGTACCCCTTAGCTGACATCTCCCCATCCCCTCCTCCCCGGCCTGAAGCAACCACTAATCCACTTTCTATCGCTGTAGATTTTCCTGTTCTGGACATTTCATATGAACGATACCATTTCCCTTTAAGCATTTTAAGTTAAATATTAAAAGCTTATAGAAAGCTTGCTATTTAGTGGAACCTGGTGGCGAATAATTAATTTTGTGTATCTAAATTTTAAAAAATGTTTCAAGTTATACAGTTTTTCTTCCGGAAAATACCTTGAAATGATTTCCTGATCAAAGGAATGGGCAATATTTATGTCATCAAGATCAGGCACGTGCAGTCTTTTTATGTGACTATCGAGCATGCCATTTAAAACAGTGAGTTTCAAGGGTGTCAAACGGTTTTCTCCAGTATTTGAAATGAGGCCTTCAGAGCAAGTTAGGAATGTTTACAGACACTCAGATTTGAATGAGTCATTCATTTCAGGTGGGAGTTAAAGATGGCGAAAATCTTCATTAAAGCGCTAACTCGAGCTTTGTCAAGCTATTGCATTGCTAAAGGTTGCTTTGCCTTAAGAGAAAATTGCTTCATAGGGATAGTTTGCTGATTTTGTCAGGATAAGTTTGGAGTAGAATTTTGCCTTTATAGAAAGGGGAATTGAGCACTGGGTGGTAGGTTTAATAGCATCACGGTTTCATAATATTAGGGTGGGATCCTGATGCCTAAGAGGAGATTTTTCTTTTACAGAGTGAAGAGAACAAAGTCATCTTCGAAAGCAGTTTGTACCCGAATAGCGGTGGTAAATGTTTGTATATGGTACCAGATCTAAGATCATGGAGGGCTGCGAGGATGAGCGATTCTCTCTAAACGGCTAAAGCCGCAGAATTTAGGTAGGATCTGGTCATCACACTTAAGGTGCT